TTGCAGCTCCGAAAAAGGAGAGCTGTGGTGTTGGTTTTTTAAAACGTACACTTTATTTATGCTTTTAACAGTCTCGACAAATACAGACACGTCTGCCGTCTCTGTGCCTTCTCTCTTCTCGTTTGACTCGAGAGGCGTTCAAAGACAGCCTCAGAAAAACAGAAATTAATGATCACTTCACTGACACTAAGAAAAGGGGAGACAATACACCAAAACAAAAAATCAAGCGAGGAAATGACAAAATAAATTCTATGGGGGCGTTTGTGAACACACAACAAAGGAATGAATAACATAAACAATTCTGAGACAGTCCAGTCTCCTTCATACATACAGCATGTGTTTCCTTCATTCTAACGTTTTATAGAAGGCTTTTATTTTTTGCGGCTCCAGACATATTTGTTTTTTGTTTTTTTTTGTCCTATATGGCTCTTTCAACATTTTGGGTTGCCAACCCCTGCCTTAATCAGATTTACTAAGATTTTAGGATTGTTTGTTTAAGAAACATTTTTTTTTTAATGTCAATAATGTATAGAACCCATTTGTCCATTTCTATTCTTGTGTTCTTTCAGTTCGTTGGTGAGCTGGAGCCTATTCCAGCTGGTTTTGGTTGCCAGCAGATTGTAGATAATCGTTCAAATTTGAGAATTATTTTTTTCATCTTCTTATAAATACCAACGAGCATACATTTTTCATTATTGTTTTATTTCTGGTGGAATCTTGGCTAATATTATTCAATATTCTTCAATGTTTACGAACATTTTAAAAATACAAAATTAATGAGCTCTGTTTTCTCCCCCATCAACCCCCCCCCCCAAAAAAAAAAGTTATACAGTAATTACATTAACTGAAGGAACACAGCAAGAAAATTATATCACCCTTATCTATTGTTATTATCGGTAACACGAAAATCAACATTCTTGCTAAAAGAATTGACCATTGTTTCAGTGAGCCCAAATAATGAGTGAAAACACATGACGAGTTTGAGACTGGAAACTTTCCATTTGTTCAGACAAATCGGTGAAAATCTCATCGTGCCTGGTGGGGTGAAAACCATCGACGCCCATGGGCGCATGTTGATGCCAGGAGGCATTGACGTGCACACACGCTTCCAGATGCCCGATCGAGGCATGACATCTGCTGATGATTTCTACCAGGGCACCAGAGCGGCACTGGCGGGAGGCACCACGATGATCAGTGAGTTATCTCCCGTCTTTATGTTTCAATGCCATTGAGAAGGCTGCCATCAGGGAATAAGATTCTCATCCATGCACTGGACTAGATTTTTCATTTGCAAAATAGCTGCAATCCAAATATTGTAAATAGATTTTGTTGTCATTCCTCGTCTCCTTTACATCATGCATGATGATTCTCCCTGACACTTCATGATCAAACTGCAACTTTCCGCTGCCAGGTTGTGATCTCAGTCTTGATGTGGGACCAAATAGTAACACACTGCAGATGAAAGCGGATGAGTTGCTTTGTTTTTGTGTTTATCCAGTCGACCACGTGCTCCCCGAGCCAGGAGTCAGTCTCATCTCGGCCTTCGAGCAGTGGCGCGAATGGGCCGACAGCAAGTCGTGCTGCGACTACTCACTGCATATGGACATCACTGAGTGGCACAGAGGCATGCAGGAAGAGATGGAGGCCCTTGTGAAGGATCACGGTATGACGAAAAAAACTCAGCTGCGGCAATGGGCTGCTCACAAGACGGCTAATTTCAAACCACACCTTTTTTTGTTAAGAAAGAACCTCTAAAACTCAATAGTGGCCCCTTGAGGCTGGTTTGGGCCACTAGTAACCCACGATGGCACAATTCAGGCAACCCTTGTAATGCTTTTTTGCTGTAGGGGTTTGTGGAGCTGATCTTTTTTTTGCTTCTGCACGATTTTTAGCTTGTCTTATTAAAACTTTAATATGTTTTTTTTTTAATAGTTTGTGCATACTTAAATCATTTTGTCACTCCCCACTTTCTCAGGTATCAACTCATTCCTGGTCTATTTGGCTTATAAGGATCTTTTCCAGCTAACTGACACTCAGGTATGTCCATTGTATTGTTTCTGTGTGTGTACCTGCTTTTTTTTTTTTTTTTAATTAACTTTTTTTTTTTTTTTTTATTAGTGGAGTAGGCTTTTTCTCATTAGATCAAAGACAAGATATTTACCCTTTCTTTTCTTTTACAAAAATAATAATAAACAGTTTTATTTTGAAAGATTTAAAGTGACGTTTGGAAACACAAAGTTGTGTCAAATGAATAGCTCTCAACCATGTTCATTCAAACCAAGCATGATTCTTTTTGGAACTTCACAGTTTATTGTTTAGGTGTGCTTAATGTTGTGACTAGTGTGGGTAAATGCAATTCCTTGTCGTGCCTGCAGGTGTATGAAGTGTTCAGTGTGATCCGTGATCTTGGAGCCATTGCTCAGGTGCATGCTGAAAACGGAGACATTGTTGCTGAGGTATGCCCCACAACCATGTGCTCTTCTCTTTCTTCATCCCTCTATCACGCCAGGACTCAAATTTCTTCAATGTTAATCACTGACAACTGATGATGAATATTCATAAAGGGCATCCGCGTGTTTAGTCTGTACGTTTAATCCTACCATGTGAAATTTATGCACTTGCCTGAGCATGCTGCTGTCTGTACATTCTTCAGGAACAGCGCCGGATCCTGGAGCAGGGCATCAATGGTCCTGAGGGACACGTCTTGAGCCGTCCCGAGGAGGTAAGACACATTTTTTTATTAGAAAAAAAAAAAAAAAAATCTGTCTTTCAGTAAATGTTGGATCAGTTCATGCAGCCTTGGTTGTATCACTTGTTTGGAAAGTCCTTCAACATCCTTTCCATGGTCAGTATCGTGTGTTTCAAGAGTTTGGTGCTGTGAGGCTGAGCAGATCGATTACAGCGCATCCTTTATGATGAATGCAATGGAAACAAGAGAGATGAAACAACTCCCAAAACACGCTGCCTCATTGCATAAAAACTTCAATCCCCAAATCCCTCTTCTTCTTATCATCTTCCCAGTTTCACGGAATCACTTCTCACTTCCCGGCTGGAAAAGAAGAGCAGGGCTTTCAATCGCCACTAATAAAGATGTTATCTGTTATACATCTAAAGGAACACAGGCAACTGAGATGCGTAGTGCAGGATATTTAAAATGACACCACCGATACCATCTTGAATAGGACATACTGTGTTTGTCATCATTTCTTTTGCTTTTGGCATCCAGCTTGTGTTGCGCAATACTTCTGTATTCCGAAGACTGTTAATAAAAATATCGCCTGCAATTTCAGACTGTTTGAATTTTCATAAAAGTTTGGCTGAGATTGGCCATTCTCTCTGCTGTTCCTGGTATATTTGTATCTAATGCCACAAGGAGCAAAGCTTGATAGGAGGATATTTGCCGCACTGAGGCATTTTTAATCTGACATTCATCATCCATTCGTGATTGATCGCATGCATTATGATTTGTTTTTTTTCTAGGTGGAGGCGGAGGCTGTAAATCGCTCGGTGACTGTGGCCAATCAGACCAACTGCCCTCTGTATGTCACCAAGGTAATGAGCAAGAGTGCCGCTGACGTCATCGCTCAAGCCAGGAAGAAGGGTGAGACTCCAAAACAGCCCCCATCTCTCTTTTTTTTTCTTATTGCAGCAAAATTACTCTCACTACATGTCAAAACATTCAATAATCCAACTTTCAAAGGGATATCTATTTTTTATAAAGAAATTAAAATGACTCTACTAGCAGATGACAGTTGCGTTATTTATTTTTTTCTTTTTTACGAGATGAACATCTATGACATTACAAACTATAACATCACAAAGTTACCTCTTATGCTTTCCAATTTTCATCAGCAAGCCCTATTAGCATAGAAATTGTGTTTCTCCGACAACTTCTCTCCTCAGAGATCTATTACAGCATATGGAACAACTCATATGTCATTACAAGGAACAAGTCTTTATATTTCCAAAATTGGGCTAATAAAGGTATTATTTATGATAAAGTATCTGTTTAATTCAAAAGGGGAAATTAATTATCGTATTTTCCACACTATAAGGCACTTCATAGTACAGTACTGTATAAGATGCACGTTCAATGAATGGCCTATTTTAAAACAGTTTTCATATATAGGGTGCCCCACATTATAAAGCGCATAGAATAGAAGTTACAGTAGTTGCTGGGGTTGGGTGATGCATCCACTAGATGGAGCTACGCTAAAGTGAATACAATACAATACAATACAGCTTTCGAGCTTTCACCACCGCTGCAACTGTAACAAAGCGCTTTTCAGAACATTTAAAATATTCTGTCCAAGAAATCAAAATATTGATCCATATATAAGGCGCATCGGATTATAAAGCGCACTGTCGGCTTTTGAGAAAATTGAATGCTTTTAGGGGCACCTTATAGTGCGGAAAATATATACTGATGAAAAATATTTGAGAGAGAAGGAATTCCCAACTAAATGACAAGAATTACATTTGGTTGTGAAGAGCATATTTAGGGTTATATTAGAACTGATGAAAAGATAAAATGGTGAGGAAGTAAATATAATTCCAGATTCAACTTTATATTTAAATGGTTTTGATCTTATCAGTAAACACCGTCTTAACGGTCATATTAGAATGTGCTTCGATGATAAAAGAAAATAACTCCTCATGAGAACATTTTCTGGAACTCTCAATTGACAAAGATCGATTGGTGTAAAACATGGCTTATTCCTTCCAATTTTTTTCTTTGGTAAGAAATAAAGTAAGAGAAGTACACCTAAAGATCTAAGGCCAATTTTATAAAAAAAAAAAAAAATACTCCATGATTTAATCCTTTTTCGATTGATATTGATTGTTACATCGAGTCTCTCAAATTTGTAGATAACAAGAAAAGTAGAAAGATTTTTGACATATACTCAAAGTTGTTTATTTGAAGTCTCTTGACAATTTGTATACATATTTACTTAAATGTTAAATTGGTATGCAATCTTTATTTTGTTTATTTAAAGTTTGTTAATTTTTTTTTTCCATATACGGTATGTAACTACGGAATTGAACTGGAATATCAGATTTTTTTGTACATGTTGTTTTGTCTTCATTCATGTCATTTTGACAAAGAACTGTTATTGGCATGGAAAAAAAAAGAATATTCTCTCCCCAAAGACTCCAAAATAACGCGTTACTACAAAGAGAGCCAGTCAGTTGCTGCCTTTGGCATAGAAAGCTCCATTTTTTTCCATCTCAGTCGATATAAATCAAAGGCGATTATCGTAAACACATAAGACGGCTTAAAGTGAAACTTCTGCACACTTTGGAACTTTTTGATTGATATGAAACTGTCTTGGGCAGGCACCGTTGTCTATGGAGAGCCGATCACCGCGAGCCTGGGAACAGACGGCTCACACTACTGGAGCAAGAATTGGGCCAAGGCAGCAGCTTACGTCACCTCCCCACCGCTGAGCCCCGACCCGACCACACCAGACTATCTCAACTCCTTGCTCTCTTGGTAACGTCATAATCAAAACATTCCAAGGGGGACATATCCGGATGAGGCTTGCTATTTTCCACTTCCTATTCTTGCAGTGGTGACCTGCAGGTGACAGGAAGTGCACATTGTCCTTTCAACACTGCCCAACGCGCCGTGGGCAAAGATGACTTCAGCTTGATTCCGGAAGGTGTCAACGGCACAGAGGAGAGGATGTCGATTATCTGGGACAAGTGTGTGGTATGTGTTGTCACATGTGACGTCACTTCACAGACTGCAAATAGATGAGAGCGATAGATCAAATCGCATTCAACCCTTTCAGGGACAGCAGTTACTACAGTGGACAGTTTATAATTTTATCGGGTTACAGGGCTTATTTTTACCTACATTAGTGGAATGGGTTGAATTTCCACGAAACATGCTATAAATCACAAACGACAGTGGTACCTCTACTTACGAACGTCTCTTCATACGAAATCTTCAAGTTACGAAACGCCTCAACAGGAAAACATTGCCTCTTGTTACGAAAGAAATTTCAAGACACGAAAAGTAAAAATACAGTGTGGTCTGCTACTCGCTGCTCAGGGTTTCCTGAATGCAACATACTTTCAGCTGCTCTGGCATTGGCTATTACCGAGCATCTTCCTGGCATCCCATTGGCTGAGAGGGACTTCTACCGTATGTGTCTTTGTGTGTAGATAGATAGATCTGTGTCTATGCAGCGTCTTCGTCATTCGCCCCTCTGGCCATGAGGCGTTCCGCTACATTTTTACGTAAATGTGAATCACCCAGAAAAAGTGTTCACCAGTCAGGCGATCGCTCACTATGCTGATGTTTGCCTTGGACATTTTTGAAGGATTGTTAAAAGCCAACAAAAGCAAATGTCCTTACATCAAAAACCACTTCTGAGAGAGAACATGAACTAAAGAGGGCAAAAAACGCTGAGGATGCAGTTAAAAGTTAAATGACCATCATTTTTATTCTTGGAACGGATTAGGGCATTTACATGGAAAACACGTCTCTACTTCCAAAATGTTCCAGTTAAGAAATTTCTTCCAGAACCAATTAATTTCGTAAGTAGAGGTACCACTGTATTTACATTTCATTTCTTGTACCGTTTGCTGAGCGCTTATGTTGCCGGTTTAAATGTTAAGCATGTCAGCCCTTTTACAGTAAATGCACAAGCTAATGATATCAAATATACCGTAAGCTTCCATATAAATATGTCGAGACAACAGTTTGTAATGTAACAATGGCTAACTATCAAGTTGGGATTATTTACATTTTGAGTTTGGATTCATTTCAGGTGACTGGCAAGATGGATGAAAACCAGTTTGTGGCGGTGACCAGCACCAATGCGGCCAAGATCTTTAACCTGTACCCCCGCAAAGGTCGTATTTCTGTGGGCTCTGATGCAGATCTGGTGCTGTGGGACCCCGATGTCACGAAGATCATCTCCGCCAAAAGCCACAACTCGGTATGCTATTCAATCACCATTTCACGGTTCCAAGTCAAGTCAACTTTATTGTTAAATGTGCTACATGTGCAACATACAGCACGGATGAAATTACATTCCTCAAGAGAGAGAGGAGCCGCTGCGGGTGCCTGCGCCGCCACCAAATTCCGTGGGCTTCTTATCGAGTTAATCAACCCCTTTTTCCCTGCTCTTGTGTCTTCCCGAGCTGTGTCATTTGATGATTTAACCCAGTGGTGTCAAACTCATTCGGGCCGATTTGGTGTTACATCTTCTCTTGGTGGGCCGTTATGACAGTGAAACCACAAAATTATTACTTGTACACAAAAAATTAATCGATTACTAGTTTTGAAATCAGGCAAGTCAATTATAATAGTTTGTTCAATTATTGTTCAAGTGAGTGTAAACTGGGAAACAAAATAATTTCAAAATCTCAACGTTACACATGACAATTTGACATTTCGGTACAGATCTTAGCAAGTTGACACACATGATTTGCTTTCGCGGGCCACATAAAAGGACCTGGCGGGCCGGATCTAGCCCCTGAGCCTTGAGTTTGACACCTGTGATTTAACCTTTCAGTTTTGACTTCATTTAATCATGTTGTCATTGTGCATGTTGTGTTGTTGGTGAAACTACCAGTTTGAGTCAGTTTCTTTTCTACCTTTGCTCTCGGTCATAACTGGGGCATTTGTGTAGCAGGCATGACATTTCTTGTAGTGTGCAATTCATTTTTTTCTTATTTTTCGTCTCGTTTTTTTGCAAAATAAATGTTGGGTATCATACAGGGGGCTTAATCAAAACAAACATTTGTCACATTGTTGTGACATTTAGCAGTACCAAGGGCTGGTTAAAAAAAAGAAATGGAATTATTGATGTACAGCACATTTCATACACAACATAAGTGAATGTACTTCACATATAGTGTCTTTAAAAGTACAACATTCAAAGGTAATTAGAAAATGAGTTACAGGGATTTAATGAAAAGTCAACAAATAAAAAAAATAATGAATTTTTTTATTCGTTGACTCACTAATTCATCACTAAATCCTTTGCTCTTGTAGTTTTCCAAAATGATTAATTTTTTTAAAGCTTTAAAAGGCCACCATACTACTGGGAACACCATTTTGAGTTTGTAAGTGTATTCATTTTTGCTCGGTCTATCTCTCGACTGACCTCCGCATGGAATGCAAATTTCGGAATGCTCGAAGAAATGCCCTCCAGCAGTGAAACACTGTGGTGCTTTAATGTTTGCAGCTTTTCAGGGATCACAAACGGATCTAGAGCTGTTTTCTAAAATATAGCTGCCGCAAAGGTAGCAATGCTCAGTTTTGATTGACACTGCTAATCTTTACAGTTAAAAAAAAATCTAATCATGAACAGTTCAAACTTTTTGGAGTTACATCCAAGTTACACAGGGTCATTATGTAGTTATCTTTGGACTCCTCCAAAGGCTTTCTTCTGTGTGTTTATTAGCAGGCAAGGGAAAAAAATGATTACACTAAGGTCAATAGTGGAGTCGTGACAGTCCATTTACAAAACAGACTGAGCATAAAACCTTCCCACGATGCATTTGATCACCATTTAGTCCACATGATTAATGAAGCCAGAAGAGTTAGTATGCCGCCTTTGCAGACGTTTTCATGCTGCGAAAGGAGATTTTATAACGGCCTCGCTTGAGCAGGGTGTGGACCTCCCGCAGCAGCAGCAGGAGGCTGATGTCATCCGTAAAATCTCCCCCAAAAGAACTGGAACACTGGAATGGTTTTGATTGTTAGCAGGCAGATCCGTGTGTGAGTGTGCGTCTGCGTGTGTCTGCACTGTACTCGGATCGGGTTGTTTTTTGGTGGTTAGTTTTGAATTCCGCCTGGTCGGAAAAATGATGAAGTGATGTTCGCCGTACGGCTTGCTCATTCGCCATGTGCGTGTGCTATAACAAGTCTCGTGTAATGTATGAGTGATCTCATTTCCGGCATTTCAAAATCCACCAAATGAATGACCTCAGCCTTTAGAAGCTTTTCAGCATACACAAACACAATATATGTTTGACTATCCTTAATTGACCCTGGTTGTTCTTCCCTGAGGCTTGTGTGCATCATCGGTTGTTTTCAAACTCGTTGCTATGACAAGTCGAACCGAGACCAATTTGGGGTCAATGTGGGTTAAATCCAATAAGCTCTTTTCATACCATTCTAATTTTATTCAGTTGCTTGATACTCCAAATGGGACATCACCAGCTTCCGGGGTAGGATTTTCATAAATCGGTCGACAGGGAGTTCACAGGAGCAAACAAAGCAGGTCACGTTGACGGGATGAAATCAATGTGTTTCTCTTTGATGTTACTTTGATGTAATATACTGGTATTTGCGTGATGAGTCAGTGCAGCTCTAATGAAGCATGCAGGAGCTGTTAGATGACACATCAAACACAACATGGGAACAACAACACACAGGAAGTCAAGCCTGTAATGTGTTCCTTTTAAATTGTCATGAAGGATTTTGCTCCGTGGCGTTTACGTTTGACATCCATATAATTGGGCCTATTTTAAAAGTGAGCCCCAGTTAAGAAACATTTTTTTTGAACTGCGTGTGTAATATGTTTGAAATTCTTTTCATCATATTTTTACTCGGGCGGCCCGGTATGCAGTGGTTAGCACATCGACTTCACAGTGCAGAGGTACCGGGTTCGATTCCAGCTCCGGCCTCCCTGTGTGGAGTTTGCATGTTCTCCCCGAGCCTGCGTGGGTTTTCTCCGGGTACTCCGGTTTCCTCCCACATTCCAAAAACATGCATGGCAGGCTGATTGAACACTCTAAATGTCCCTAGGTGTGAATGTGGGCGTGCATGGTTGTTCGTCTCTGTGTGCCCTGCGATTGGCTGGCAACCGATTCAGGGTGTCCCCCACCTACTACCCGAAGACAGCTGGGATAGGCTCCAGCACCCCCCGCGACCCTAGTGAGGATAGAGCGGTTCGGAAGATGAATGAATGAATATTTTTACTCAGCACTTTACTTTGGAGTCAGCCAATCCTCCATTAAGTGTCTCCAGTTGGTCCAAAATGCTGCTGCTGCTGACCATCTTTGAAAACTCATTGTTATTTTTTGGCTTTTGAATCAGCATGAGACTTGATTTTTAGTTTTACTCTTTTTGTGCTTTCTACTGCCTTTTTGTTAATTTAATATTTTATTGTATATCGTTCTATGAATTATTTTTGCTCCATTTTCAGCACCTTTTATAAAGCAGTGGTTGTTTTAAAGTGCTCTATAAAAACAGTCGGGTTGAGTTGAGTTGAGTTGATGTTCAAACAGATTTCATTGAGCATCACTGTTCCATCTCAAATTGTTTCGGATTCTGAAACGTTTTTTTTCCCATCCGTCCATTTTGTGGGGTAGCTGGCATGTCCAGAATATACAAATGACAAGTCGCACTTGCATTCACACCTCTATTTTTTTCCCCCTTGTTTTTGTTCGATGGCTTCCTCTTGCAGACTGTGGAGTATAACATCTTTGAAGGAACCGAGGTGCGTGGATGGCCACTGGTGGTGATCAGCCAGGGCAAGATCGTCTTGGAGGAAGGAAACCTCCACACCACAGAAGGTTCTGGACGCTACGTGGCCCGCAAACCTTTTCCGGACTACGTCTACAAAAGGATAAAAGCTCGCAGCAGGGTACAAAACAGTTTCATTCGATGTCTAGTTTGTTTCGTTATTTATTTTTATTTTTTTTTTTAAATTGTCTGAACTATATTTTCCACGCTGCAGCTGGCTGAGTTGAGGGGTGTACCGAGGGGACTGTACGACGGTCCGGTTTGCGAGGTGTCGGTCACCCCAAAAGCCATGACGCCCGCTTCATCGGCCAAGACGTCGCCTGCTAAGCAGCCCAACCAGCAACCAGTCAGGAACCTGCATCAATCTGGCTTCAGCCTCTCTGGTTAGTGGACACTCATCTGATGGATCATCTCTTAGATTGGAATTGTCTAGACTCAAGACACAACACCAAAATTACGATAACTGATTAATGGACCAATTAATTTTGAGATAAAATTGATCAAAATAATTTCGTTTTAATCTTAACGCTGACAACAATAAAGTTTTAAGTTACAGGCAGAACATTTGACTTTTTTTTTAATACTAATATTGTGCTATTGTGTTTGTTTAACTTGACAGCAGGGAGGAAAATCAGCAAAAATCAAATGGTTATTTTGTCGCTTTTTGTGTGTGTTTGTGGGGCGGGGGTGACGTTTGAATGTCATTCATTATCTTTGTGCTGTGTGCTAATGTGTTAATGGTTAACAAAAAAAAACTGCAAAAATTGGCCAATTTGCTTTGTTTTTGGGTCAATTTTTATCCTTTCTCAAGAGCTAAAATCGTCCGATTCAATCAGCTTTTCGACTAATCGCTTGGGCCCTAATATTGAGGACACAATTTTTAATCGGATGGGATATTCCCACTAAATCTTCTTCACTGTCGTTTCAGTGGGAGTGTTGTGTTGAGCCATCACGCCTCCAAACTTATTTGTCGCAAAATTATTTGTCATTTTTGCAACAAAGTGTGGTTCTTTTCTTATTTTTTCCCCCATTCTCCAAAAAATTGTACAGATACTTTGTGGCAAACGGTTTCACAATAAGAGGGCCTGCTACAATTTGATCAGACCAAATGGTTGCGACAAGCCGCTGTTGTTGTGAAGCGTCGCTGTTGAACCTGCAACTCTACTGTAGTGTTTGCCAAGTTGTCTTTCACTGCTCCTCATTTCTGGAAATTTCGCTTTTTGATGAAAACCGTCAGGTCCCCCCCCCCACTTCACTGATGTCAACTTGACCGCACTGCACGATTGTTGCGATTGTATTGTACCACATTTGTTCTAAATGACTCAGAATAATGACAATTACATGTTTACCACTGAACGCACCAAGTTCACTTGCGCACAGAAATTATGATCGATCAAAATAAGGCACGGGCCTACCTTTTCAATGTGTTTATCCGGTGATTCTAAATGGATTCTCAAAATAAAAACGATTTTAGGAATAAAACCTCTGCATCGTTTTATGATGAACACTTAGGCCTACTATGTTACTGTCGTTTATTTTTTGTGAGTTTGGTGGTACGTGGCGCTGTACTGTAAGTACCTTTTGAGGCGGGACTTGGTTTAAAATGTTTGACAACCACTGTGCTAATCAAATGGTTGCAACACTGGTTCCCTGTAAAATGTCAAACGGGATTTTTTTGTCCACGCAGGCGCTCAGGTTGATGACAACATTCCTCGCCGCAACACCCAGCGCATTGTGGCGCCCCCGGGTGGGAAGGCTAACATCACCAGCCTTGGTTAGAACGTTCCATCCATTGCGCAGAGGGGGAGGGTAAAGGATCTGAGGAAGGACGGCCGATAGGTGCAGAGGGTTCCACGCCGGGAACTTCTCACGATGACCCATTTGGCATTTCGCCATCCGTGATCTGTAACTCTGCCACCGCCTGCTTTTTACCCCCACATTCTCACTCCCCTTCCTCCTCAAACCAGATCCTCGAGGACACGGTTCAAAACAAACAAACAAAAAAAAAGGTCTGCCTCACATGACGGAAAAAAAAATAAAAACAATTGTGCACTTTTTATTTTGTTTAATACTGTTTGTTCTTTTTCCAGTTCACTTGCCATTGGGTGGGCTGATTTAACGCAGATTGGGTACGTTACTGCAAAAGATCAAATGTACTGTATTTTCAAAATTGGGAGCAGCATGTGTGCTTCATCACCACCCAACATTTAATCAATAATCCACCCGTAGGGCTGTTAAAAGAAAAAAAAAAGCAACCCAGGGTACATCATTCGCACACTCTTATGATTTTTATCTTTGCTGAAGTACATACAGTTGGTCTAAACTTGCTTGTCAGCTGCAAAGTCCCGACGGCTGTTGTAAATGTAGCTTTATGCCTCATCTCGTCATTCCAAGTGGGATGAAAGCGAATTAAGGGAAACATTTAACCAAGGCGGGCCAGAGAAATGCCTTATTGTTACGCCACATCATCTAATTCACACAGCAGCCGTCAAATTTCCAAACTTTTGAAGCCGTCCATCACCAACCCGTGCATTTTCCACACAGAATGTTTCGAGACTCGTCAATATACTCCGCTTTCTGTTCTTACTCTTTATGTGCCTGAATCCACAGAAAGGTGTATACATAATTGTTTTGCTCTTCTTAAAGTGAAGGATGTAAGATAAAAAAAAAATAGGTGTAAAATAGCGAGGATAAACCGATTCAAAGGTGCCAGATTTTGCGCTTTCATTTGGGCCTCTTGTGCCAGTAGAGCCCCTGTAAAGATGTTATGAGCTCATGATCTTGAATTTTTTTTTTTTTGTTTTTTTTTAAAGCTGTGTTGTTAAACTGCTCTTTAAGGTCAATTTGTAACTAGTTGCTGAACGGCTGAGCACTTTCTTTTTGCGCTTGAAAGTGGTGGCGAGCTGATGATGTTCTATGCTGTGTGTGTGTGTGTGTGTGTGTGACTAGTGTGCAGTGTAGATGTTGGAGGGATGGACCCCGGCAACACTCGACAAGACCTGCTATCCTCTCATTTCACTTTTTTGCGTATTATTTGTTTTTCATTCTGCCGAGCAATGGATGCGGCTTGGTATCTGGCTACCATTGCTCCTCCCATCCCCTGACTCAACTTTACACGTTACTTCAAACTATCTTCAGCAAGCATAGCGGTACCTAAACCTAAAGAGTAGCGCTTGACGAACTGCACTCTCTTCATTTCCATGTCTTCATTTCATTCATTTGTAAAACAAACAAACAAAAAAAGAATATAATGAACACGAATGTTCGCCGATCCAGAATGAAATGGAGAAGAAAGGAGACAAGTCTGTTCCTCAAACACTCCAGTTTGGCACCAACTGTAAGAGTCCTCCCACCGCCCCCCCCCCCCAACCTGTTCTTCCCTTTTCTTTCTCTACGTTTTTTGCATTTTTGGGTTGTGTGCGGCTGTTGCCATGCCGACAGAGCTCGCCACTCTCACGAGCTGCAGATTGTGTGGCTTGTCTGAGCCATGCCAGTTAGACTGGAGTTTCACTTTACCATTAGTAATCTCCACACACACACACACACCCACACACACACACACACACACACACACTCACTCACTAATCACCACTGTTTGCATGCCCCATCCCTCCTTGCACAATACACATGTTAACCACACAGCTGTACTTTTCTAGTCTGCTTGAGTTCTAATGCTATGCCATGTTATGCTAATCAGATATACAGTAAGTGATATGTATGTTCGCAACGTGCTGCAGACTGAGAGGGGATGCCGTTCTGTACAACCGCTTATAATCGTAAAGACACCTGCCCACCCCCTGGAAGCCCCCCCCGACCCCCCACCATCTTATTCTGAAACCCGGCAAGCCATTGTGGGCCTAAAGAACAACAAAAGCACTGGATCTGATGGCATCCCTGCAGAGGTTTTCAAGCACGGAGGTTATCTCTTCATGCGGCGTCTGCACCTCCTGATTCAAAACATCTGGGAACATGGCACCCTCCCGCAGGATTGGAAGGATGCAAATTGCGTTGTTGTTTACAAGCAGAGAGGGGACAGAGCAGCCTGTGCGAATAGCCGAGGAATCTCTCTGCTCTCCACCGCAGGAAAAATTTTGGCCAAAATCATGCTCGGCAGGCTGGTCGAGCACATCTCAGAAGCTGTGCTTCCGGAAACTCAGTGTGGCTTCCGGAAGACTAGATCCAAAACATACATGATATTTGTTTGAAGGGAGCTAATGGAGAAGAGCAGAGAACATCACAAGGAGCTCTACATGGCCTTCATCGACCTCAGCAAAGCCTTCGACACCGTTCACCGTGAGTTGCTCTGGAAACACGTCTCCAAACTTGGGGTACCACCCAAGTTTCTCTGCATCCTCCAGCAGCTGGTATGCAAGCCAGAGTGCTCATCGGAGAACTCCAGTCAGAGCTCTTCAAGGTGAACGCTGAGGTGAAACAGGGCTGTGTCTTGGCTCCAGTGCTCTTTAACATCCTCCTCTCTGCCGTCACGTGCCTTTTCCACCATGGCATGGGACATGAAGATACATAGTGTCCATGTGGAGTAGCGCCTAGATGGAAACCTCTTCAACATCAGCTGCGTAAGACTGCTTCGGCATTATAAAACATTACATGCAGAACCTTCTGTAATGACGGCAGATAGTTTTACATTTCTGGTACTACTGTAAATATGTATATTTATTTTTTGTGTGCTTATTTTTGATCGCATATCTGCAAAACTGTTTGTCGCTCCTGAAAATATACACTCATCTAGTTAATTGTACCTTATTCACCTTCATAGTAGCTGTTTTTTTTTTCTTTTACCGTACTATGGGCTTTACACACGTTGGCTTGTTTCGCTCCCTGCTCACGCTGGAAAACCCGAACAATATTTCCTCCGTTGACTCTCACTTGGTATCGACTCGTTGACTCTCCCTCTTCTGCTCTGTTGTTTCCCACCCAAAACTGTGTGTGTGTGTGTGTGTGTGTACAGTATCTATCTATCTATAGGATAAGAGGTTTGTATAATGTGTGCATTGTGACCATGACTTGAGCCAGACTCCAGTCCGACTCATATACAGTATGCAAATGCTTTCGAGATGGATTTTAGGAGGCAGGCCTTCCTGCTCTGACATTTTGACAGTAAATAAGGCATATCGAAAGGCAGCACACATAGTCATTAAAGTGGCCTGTAGAGAGAGCAGGAGGGCTGACAGGTTATCGTGACAGATTGATTGAAATTCTCCATAGTGTGCTTCATTTGTTGACACAGCGTCGACAGCTATTGAGTCTGCGTGCGTGGTAGGTTGTGCGTGTATGCAACAAGCAACTGCAATAAAGTTAGTTAACACAATGCTTAAAACACAAAGCTTTTGCTCCTTTAAATAAGATGTACAGCTATGCCTTGAAATAAGAGTTTTGTTTTGCAAACCCACTTGTAACTCAAAACAATCGAATTGCAAAACATATTTTGCCCATTTTAATGATCTGAAACAGCTTTAATCGGTTCCAGACCCCCCTCCCCCAATCCCCTTTACATTTCTGACAATTAAATAGAATATACATAAATTAAGCAGTTTTTGCTTTTGATTTAGTTGTGCATGATGTTGCTCCTTTCGTGTCGACACCTTGCCCTCGTGGAGGCAGGATAATAAAATCATATGGGCTGGTAAGTAAGTAATGTTAGTCATTCATCACAGAAGATAAAGAATATATGCCCACGGGTATTGTTACATTATCTGTCAGTCTTCGCACTACTTTCATGAGCATAAAGACTAGGGCGCGGGCAGGAGTCTGTGCGAGGCTTTGCTTTTGTCATGATTCTGTTTTTGTTTGCATTCGATTTGGTTTTGTTTCATAATTTACTGTCATGGTTCCGTTCTGTTTGTGACCAACAGGTGGTATTGGAGGGCTCCTCCTCCAGCATCGCACCTGTTGGTCATCATGTCATTAGCTTTTTCGGTTACAAGGACTGCCACGCCGCCCACTTGGCGTCGGATCGATGTTTTACTGTTATGGGTTTTTGTTTACTTTGAGTTATTTGGGTTTTTCAAACCAACCAAGACAGATGAACCGAGAGACGGATTCAACGACACCAGCGGGCGGCTGGTACCCCCCTGGCATCCGGGTTCCCTTGCTCCATCTGCGGACGGGTCTGCGACTCAAGGGTCGGACTCTATGCCCACGAGAAGTGGCACCAGTGACAGTGTCGCCTTTAAAACACGCTTAAAACTTTTATGACTTGGAAAGCTGGCGCATATTGTCAAAAGGCCTTATGATATTTGCTTATATACATGTTTTTTTTTTTTTACAATACATTCCCTTTTGTGTTGTATTAGTTTGCGGAAAACTCGTCACGTGCCTTTTCCACCATGGCATGGGACATGAAGATACATAGTGTCCATGTGGAGTAGCGCCTAGATGGAAACCTCTTCAACATCAGATGGCTCCAGGCGTCCCTGGGTTCTGTCAGTCTTTGTTCGATCATTGTGAGTGTGAGTGTCTGTGTGCTCCTGTCATGTTTTGTTTTCTGTCATAGGTTTGTGTTACTTTGGTTCCTTGTGTTTTTCAGGACTTTGTTCGAGTACTTAAGTCAGTTTTTTTCCGGTGCACTGTTTATATTGTTGACTGTTTTTGACTTGCTTGTAATTGATGATACTAGGGTAGCCTGTAGTACCAGAGACAAATTTCTTGTGTGTTCTACATACTTGGCCAATAAAGATGATTCTGATTCTGATTCTTCTGATTCTGTTAAAGACATTTTTGCTCAGTCCACCCTGCGCCTCCCTGCCTCCCTGCTTTTTGGGGTCCTCCAATTACCATCATGACACACAGGAAGGCCGGAGCCGGTATCGATCCCACGACCTTTGCACCCTTGTAAGTGTTTTTGTTAATATATTTGGTGGGTGTAGAAGGCACATGAGATCCAAAATCTGATGGACTGTAACAACACCCAGGGCTTCTACAATGCTATCAAAGCACTGTGCGGCCCCAGGAAGCGGACAATTGTGCCACTCCGATCAGCTGATGGCTTTGCACTCCTTAAGTGCCGCCATGAGATCCTTGCTCGCTGGGCAAACCACTTGGAAAGTCTTTTCAATCACACCAACCCTGTCAACCCTGGATAATCTCCCAGACCTGCCAACAATCATGAGCCTCGACCCCCCACCATCTTATTCTGAAACCCGGCA